GGGTGATTTGTGGAATTGGAGGGGGGGGGGAGAGAGAGAGCATTTGGAGACTTTTACATTTATTTATTTTCTTCCCCATGGTAACTACACTATAAAGTAAAGTTGGGAGTTTTTTTAAACGTTAAAAAAACAATGAACGTCACACGCACTTGATTTAGCTTGATCTCTATCGGACCGTAGAAGCATTAAAAAAAATGTCCCGTTAACGATTTATTCTTTTTAATGTGATAATATATTTAAGACATAGGCGCTTTAACATGAATTGATGAATTTTGACTGGCGTTTTCCGCCACATTTTTCAAGGTTCTTCTCCTAACACACACCCCCCTCTCTCTCTCTCTCTCACACACACACACTCTCTATCAATGACTCTATTTCTCTCTCGCGCGCGCTCTCTCTCTCTCTCTCACTACTCACTCTATTTCTCTCTCCCCCTCCCCTCTTTTACTTTCTTTCTTTCTCAATCTCATCTTTACTGTCCCATTCCCTTTCAAATTCCCCCTGCTGTTAATTAGGCTCCCGATCACTAACTTATCATTGAATCAAATTCAAATGTACCAACAAATAAAACGGTTATAAGTTGAAGTTCTCTGCTCCATAAACAAAGATAGAGAGAAACAAAATCTGTTTAAAAATTGCGAAAAAGCAGAAGAAGAATTTTTTTTTTTTTGCGTCATTGAATTTTATTGAATTAATTCGGGGATAATATTAGAAAGTACCTTCTGCGCTCTATGTATTATAGGAATAAGATAAGTATTAAAATATATATATATTTATTTTTTTAAAAATTATTTGTAAATTAATATTTAATGTCTCCCAATTATGAAACATTCAAAGGTAAAAATTTATTTAAAAAAATAACTAGTTACATTAAGGAGAAAGTTTAATGAAGAAATGCTTTCAAATATATTTTAATTATATCGTAACTCATAACTTTAAAACAAGGGTTACGTCTTCTCTGTTCTTATCAATCCCTTTTCTCTCCAATACGACAATGTAGATCTCTCAGTCTCAGTTGTATGATGTTAATGGTGTCCCTTGCTATTCCTTTTGTCCTTTTATAAACTGGTTAATACCAATTGTCGGAGCGCAGAGGGCTTTACAAAAATTGTTTTAATTTCAAATTATTTTTGGTTTATTTTTTTCCGTAGAACTTCCGGCCGCCTTGGTATCGCTCAATATTATTTATGATGAGATCATATTGTTGCACATTCGATTTTTGTGATGAAAACATATTGTTACACATTCGATATTTGTGATGAGATTATAGTGTTGTACATTCGATATTTGTGATGAGATCCTATTGCTGTACATTCGATATTTGTGCTGACATCCTATTGTTGCACATTCCATTGCACCAGGGAAATGTGCCAAGTCTTTTCCTTTGCTTTTGATTTCTGCCCTTGTGTTGTTGTTGTTGTTATTAAGTAGAATTTTTAAAGTCCTTTGTTTGAGACGAGTGTCTTTGTTACATTACAGACTGAGGAGTTTTGAAAGCTGTACAGAATAATAATCTTCAATGAGAGAGAGCAACACTTCAAATCAAACTATGCGATGTAATAGAAACGTTTCGACAAAGCAAAAAATTCAATTTTTTTTTTTAAAAGAATGATTTTACCTCTTATTTCAAAGCGTATAAAAGGCAGAAAGGCATGTTGTTTAATCTTACTCACTCTCATCGGATTACTTGCACTTACACTTACTTATTACACTTACGCTTACAAATATCGTTCGCCAGTCGAAATCGACCCTGGCCCCCTTAACGTTTGCATATGTAATACTTCTGAACTTCGCACAGCCGCGCTCAAAGGCTCCTCCACGGATGTTTACCGTGGCCCTTCCACAGTTGGTTACCGTGGCCCCACCACAAATGTTTACCGTGGCCCTACAACATACGGGCACCGTGTCCCCACCACAAATGTTTACCATGACCCTACAACAACCGGTTACCGTGGCCCTACCACAATTGCCAACCGCAGCCCTACCACAAACAGCCACCGTCCCAGCACAGGTGACGAGGATAACATCCACCTGTTTAAGGATCTCTATTCCCAGGAGCCGTGGGCGGAGGTCGAGTCGAACGTCTCGGAGCCTGGCCAGATCCCGTACAACGTCCACTACTTCTGGTGCGGCCAGAAACTGTTCCGCTTCGAGGACTACGTCGGCCTGCTGAGCGTCGTCCGGATCCTGGGGCCGCAGAAGATCATATTCCACTACCACCACCTGCCGTACGTGGATAAGGATTGGTACCACACGTGGTTTCAGGAGCTGAAGCAATCCACACCGAACCTCGTGCTGCGTTACACGCGCTCCCCGACGAAATGTGGGTCGCCGGATATTTTAGAATTCGTGCTGACGCAACTGGTGGAAAATGGCGGCGTCTATGTCGGGGAGAGAACGGTCCTGACGCACGTGCCGCGAGAGGCGTGGTCCGAGGATTTCTATTACAGCTTCCGGTTGAATGACGTTTCAGGCGACGTCACCCAAGGCATCATCTTCAGTAAGTCTGGTTTCCCCAAAGACGGCGTTAAACAAAAACTCGGAGAAATTCTGAACTCACCAAGAATGTGTTACCTAGTGGAAGAATTCAGCAGCCAAGCCGCAGATCAAATAATATCAGCTCTGGAGCCTTGCATCGCGCTGTGGGAATCACTGTATCCAAGAGACATATGGAACGCACCATCGCGTTTCTCGGAGCTGGCCCGCTGGTTGTATTATGGATCCAGGGGGAGGCTTGGGGTGAAGGCCGATGACCGCGACCTCATCCCCATGACCTCTCATATCGTTTGGCTCAAGAACCCACAGTTCCATTTTCTCCACTACCTCAGTGTGATCTCGGCCCTGCACGTTGCTGGCTTCCAGAGGGTCTACATCCACGGGTCGGTCCGGCCCCACGGTGAATGGTGGGACAGACTTCAAGGACAAAATGTTACTTTTATCAAAGTAAGCAAATAACCTTTTTTTCTTTTTTAATGTTTAATTTTTTTTAAATTTGAATTTGAAGTTTGGGAGTGGGTTGCATGGTATCTTCAGATAGATTTGAAGTCTTTAAATTTATATTTAGCAATAAGTTAACATAACTAACTATTGACATTTTTTTTTTTTTAATGCAGACATTTGAACAAAAAAGGGGAGATGTGCTTATATTTTTGGAAAATCCTTTCTATTTTTTGTAAAGCTAGATAAACTACTATGATAATTTTTAAATACAAAAAAAAAAAAAAAACAAAAAAAAAAAAAAAAAGAGGGAGGGGGGGGGGGGGGGGGGGTAAATAAAATATATTTCCGACTGAAGAATTTACTGAAGGATTCCCAAATTGTTATTACAATATTTTCAATTTTTTTTTTACCCTTTTATAATTTTCAGTAAGAACATTTCGTATTGCGGGGAAAGCGTGCTCAAGTAGTCAATCCCATTGATGTTAAGAAAATCAATAGCTTCACTGTACTTAAGATGTTGATCCTTTCTATCCCTGGTTTCACCGTGCTAAAGATATTGATCGTTTCTTGTGCTAACAGGTTCAACCTATGGAACAGCGCCTTTAACAAGGCTTTTCAAAGCTGTTGCTAAAAGATCTCCGCCGTTATTGTTTTTTTTTTCTCTTCTTTTGCGTGAGCCCCGTCTAGATGTGAGGTCACTACGAATGCTTGTCTATTGTCTTGCAGGCAGCCAGCCATGCTCTGGAATCCATTGTAAGGCGGGCCAGAAAGTCTGGCCAGTCAATATGCGGATGAATGTTGCAGCATCACAGCGCGTCGTTAACAACCCTCAGCCTGTTCATACACTCTGAACGAGACACACACACGCACAAGTGAACACTAAAAAAAAGGGGGCTGGTCTGTGGGCGTAGGTGTGAGCGGGGGGGGGGGGTGATTTGGGGAATTAACAAAAATGGGGAGATGTTTTTATATTTTTGGAAAATGTTTTCTTTTTTTTTTAAAGCTAAATAAACTGTTATAATGATTTTTAAATACAAAAAAAAAAAAAAGACGGAATGGAAGCCAGTCAGACTCATGCATCTTCCAAATGTTCTTACTCATAACAGGACGGATGCCCTGAAAGGAAAGATCCTTGAACCCCACTTTGGTCGCCGCACCCGATACCTTTTGTTGTCCGAAACAGCGCTGACATCCATTAGGGCTATAGGTCTGCACATACACTTGTTATGGATTTTACTGAAACCCAAGACTGACATACTCGACCGAATTCAATCAGGGGAAAAAATTGGCTTCACAGTATCATCGACCGTCGGTGGGGGAAAAAAAAAAAAGAGTTTGCTTTGTTATCGAAATTTTCCGATTGAAGAAAAAAGGCGACCAGATTCCAGAATTTCATCGTTGACATTGACAATATTGTTTACATTTCTACAATTTATGATTTTAATTCGTAGGAGAGAGAATTGTAATCCATTACATTGTTAATACGTTTAGTTTGCCTTGGATAATTTTGACTATCCCCCAACACCAGTTTGGAAAATTCAAGGCTGGTGCGATCGGTTTCAGGGTGAGCACAATGTTAGACGAACTCGTCTGCCGAAAGTTCGGTCTCGTGTGTCAGTCTTGGAGGTCCGGAGGATTACGGATCCAGTGTAGACACAGCCTGCGGTCTTATAAGTTCTATAGTCTTTTTGTACTGTTCAAAAGTAACGTTGCAGTAGTCATTAAACGGCTGAAGCCGCCCCCCCCCCCTTTTTTTTTTCTTCAATCAATGATTCTCATATTCTCAGATCGAAGAACCGGAAAAGGTGTTCCAGCAAAGCGTACTTGGCCCCGCCCACCAGTCTGACGTCCTGCGCCTCATGACGCTCCTGAAATACGGCGGCGCTTACCAGGTCTCTGCACTGCTTGACCCTAAATACACATATAGCGCTACCAGAATGGTGGATGATACCTTTCTTCAAATGGTGACCCCCATGACGCGGAAGATTGGTTATTTGAATCATTAATAGTTCATTTACTTCATTTACTGGTCCAAACGGAGACCGAAATAAAACAACAACAACAACAGCAACAAACAATAAAAAAAACAAAAAACCAATGAAGTTATTGATACAAAATCTCACAATGCCACAAACTATTTGAGCTAGTATTCGAAAATGGAAAAGGCAGGCGCAGACATCAAGCGTATGTGGTGAATCTGACCCCCCCACCCCCCTTGACCTCCGCAAGGCACCTAGTGAGTGCGGGGTAAGATACGACATGTGCTATGGGGGACCTTTTCAGGGAAGTGGTTGGGTTCAAAAGGGAAAAAAAAGGGGGGGGGATGAAGTGAGCGGGGAGGGGGGTAATCAAAATTTATTGATTAGCAGCTGTTTTTAAAATGTTTAAAGTAAACATTTTCATGATTAAATTTTTTTTTTCTTTAAATTAAATTGTTGCCCTTCTTTCATCCCCACATTCCCGGCTTTAAAGTGATAAGGTAGTTGATACACTATAAGTCAGTACACTGAGCTAACATCGGGGACACAGTTTGCCTGTGTCAACAACATTAACCGCTTTCGTCAAAAGAATGTTTGCCACATTAAATGCATTCAGTTTTAGAATATGCAGAAAATTATAAGCATTCGTATCATAAATGTGCACCAGGATAACGGCAGTCGTTTCAGAAAAGTGCACCAAGATAACGGCAGCCGTTTCAGAAGAGTGCACCAAGATAACGGCAGCCGTTTCAGAAAAGCGCACCAAGTTATCGGCAGTCGTTTCAGAAGAGCGCACCAAATTCGTCTTAAGAAAAAGAAAATGTACACGATACTTTTCAGGGATGTACACCACATTTACTTGGTCCGCCGTATATGTAACACATGCTACTAGCAAATGTGCCGACCTCCCCACCCCACCCCACCCCTCTACTCACAGGTCCAAGTTTCCCATTAACTATATAATCAACAATGAACCATTTAAGTTGTTATAAAAAAAATATTAAATCCTTACTATAATCTTACTATAATCATACTATAATTATACTACAATCATGTTCAACAGAAGAAGCGCCTGGTGTGAATTGGGAACAAACTCGGCGCCGGTTACGTGGAATGTTACGACAGGGAGTTAGCCACACATGGAATGTGTGTGTGTGTGTGGGGGGGGGGTGGTTTCGTGGTGGTTTACTGGTGTGTGCGTGTTGGTTTCTAATTTAAACAGTGACGTCATCACCGGAGGGTTGGCATACGTCTGCCGACTGCGACGACAATGCTCTTAAAACCCAAATCTCTAACACTCTTGTTACAGCGTAACATTTTCCAACAGTAAAAAAATAATAATATTGTTTGACTGCGATTAATAAAACATTTTTTTTTAAATTTGAAGAGAGAAAAATGGTCTGATTTTCGCAGACGTGTTTTAAAGCAAACAAAAAAGTAGAAAATAATTATCTTAAAAATGTATTAACAGTTTTCTCGCAGATAAAATCTTTATAGAAAGGCAGTAAGGCGCTCTATATAGTTGCAAACGATTCTAAAAAAGGAATTTAGAATAAACAAACGTCTGTTTAATTCAATTTCAATTTTTTTTGGTATAAACCCAACATTTAAAATGAAATAATTGTACGTATAAACACAGATGTACCATCACTGTAGAGTTACGTGCTTTAAGAATAGATGAAAAGTATCTCTCCATCGTGCAGTTAGTGTTTAGGTGATTGGATGAGAGTGACGACATGTGGTGCCGATAAGAGTGAACACGCCACCCAAAATGGCCATGTTGGCTTGTCGGCCAAAGCAACCGGAAACCTCGGCGTCCAACTTGCATTTGGTCCACTCTACTTAACCTTTGACCTTCCATGCCAATTTTGTACCCCCACCACGACCACGAAAGTCGGTACACCGACAGCTATGTTTGAATTTTTAAAAGAAAATTCGTTCAAAATATTTGACATGTTACGCCTCTACCTTTCATAACTTAAAAATTATTATAATTTTTTTTTTTTTTAATCTTCCACAACAGGACCGTGACGTCATTTGGGTGAGCAGGATCCCCGAGAGTCTAAGGCGATATCCAGCAGTGACTTGCCCTGATTGGCCCCTAAACGGGGAGTGGCCAGAAGCCTTTAACATGGGCGTGATGATGGCCAAAAAAAATTCCGATTTTTTGAAAAATTTCTTGAAAACATTCAAGTAAATTGTTTACTAATTATTAAAAATTATTAACTTATTTGTTTCGTTTTTTTACAGTTAACGAAGCGTTCCATTTTGGGTTATTTCATTAAAAAAATAATAAAGGCAGTTTTAAAATAAAAAGCTAATATCATTTATGATCAATGGATAATTAGAATAAATCAGAAACACAGGGGGGTCGCCCTTCCCCCCACCCCCACCAGACCTTTAGCCCCCTCACTTTAATGATCCCCTACCCCTTACCCCCATCCCTCACAAATCCTCCCCCCTCCCCCCCCGAAGATGACTGCCGGTCCGAATCGCTTTCCAAATGTTTTCAACCCTTATAGGTTGTGGATTTCTTCCTCTACAGACAAACAAACGAACAAAAAATTAATTTAATAAGGAAAATATTTGAGCTTAATGTTAAAAAAAAATTGCTGAAATAACAAAATACTTACTAAGAAATATAAGTTGGTTTAAATATATATATATATATTGATAAAAAAATACATTATCTATGCCACAGCTACTGTAGATCTAATTTATACTCCCCTTCTTCCAACTTATACAAATCTAATCAAAACACCCACTAGCCCCAGCTACGACAGATTAACTCCACATCATTATGTAAATCTAATTTACGTATCCTACAACTCCCAGGTACTATAGAGATGACAAGTGGGCCTTCAATGCGGTCTTTATGCCCTACAAGGCATACGAGCTTCACCCGGACCAACTGTTTGTTGATAGACATTTGCAGGTAGGTGGGGAGATTCGGCAACTGTCTTCTCCCAGTGCCACATTAGACTTTTTAAATGTGCTTCACAAAATATCGAAATGCATAACTCCCTATGTAACGATGTCACTAATGCTACCAGATGGCGCTGATTTCACAATATAGAATTCACGATAACTGCGCTGAGTTTCTTAACAATACCACAAATGCGTTTTGTGCGTAATATTTGTTATGTGTTTTACTAAAATAATTGGAAGTAATAAATCTGCCGTGTAAAAGAGAGCGGGACATCGAAATAGTAATAAGGTTCAGGGGCGCGCAAAAATGTGCAGTTATGGACCTTGGGGTGGGGTGGGCGGGGGGAGCATCAATTAAGATTCTTCTAAAGTGCGTTACTTCAATGCATGTTTTCTCAAGTGACGTTAGTAGATGGGAAGTTCACACATTTCTGACACTATTGTTTGTTGGGCACTAGCTAGTACTCATTAAAAAATATAACCAAGCTAAAGGAAAAAAATAACTTGACTTTAAGTCTCTACAGTTGGATTCTGTAAAGCTGGAGTCTGTCTATATAGGTGATATCTTTTTTTTAAAAAAAGCTGAAGTCTATCTAAATTTAAATCTTTAAATAGCTTTAAGCATGTACAGCTGGAGTCTTTCTATATAGCTGAAATGTTTAAATTACTGGAGTCTGTATAGTGGTAGTCTGTCTAGTGGTAGTCTGTCTAGTGGTAGTCTGTCTAGAGCTGGTATTTGTAAATAGTTGCCTGTTTTGTATAGCTGGACTGGAATCATTATTGGGGTCGGTAGGGATGTGCAGCAAATGTTTTAGTCAGCTTTCAGAGGTGAGAAGAGAAGGCAACGAATTATCTCATAGGCCCGCTAGAGATATATTTGTATTTACCAACCAGGAACTGTTCTCTCTAGAGCGCCACTCAAATGTCCCAAACATAATTATATCGTTATATCCACACACCCTCACAATATAGCCACACGCACAGATCCTCCCAAAATAATTCACTGACTTGGACATTTCATGAATCCCTAAACCGAAATGGCCTATATACAATTAATACAAGGAATTCACCGATACGTGTATAATTATAATATTTTTTTTTATATATTCACAGGTCATCTGTTTCAAAGGTATCTGCCACCCTGCCTGGCACAAGGACTACATAAGGGACATCTCAGATCCGCGGCCAGTGGAACCCTTCGACTGGCGAGACGCCCGCGCCTTCCACTTCACCGTCCCCAAGCCACCGCACAGTCTCTCATCACCCCAGGCCATCAGAGATGGCACTGATATGTTTTCAGAGATTGGTCGGATGATCTTGCAAAAGAGCGACCAGGCTGCATTGTTGAGCTAAAAGTGTATAAAACTCTTTTTATAAAAAAAATAATTTAAATAGACCTTTGGAGGTAGCATGAGTACATCGTTTGGTTTACAGTATAAACTTTGTCTTAAAATTACTAATTTTTTTTTAAACTTTTGAAAAATGTTCCACTTCTTTGTATGGTCTGCCATGTGTAAATATTTTTAAAAAAATGCATTCACTTGTCAGTGTTCTTTTCGTCTACAAAGAAAATGGTCTTCATTGTGACCCATTGAGAAGAATATAGTTTCTCTATAACTGTGTTTTTTTTTCTTTGCTTTTTTTAAAAAAAGATGTGGTCATTTCCATTCGATGCCAACTCAATCTTGTGGCGTCACAAACTTTACCACCCAAGCTAAATCCTTTGTTCAGCTCGGTTCCTCATTCAGCCACTTCCGTCTTCAGGGCGCCATTATCTTAAGGATGAAGTCAGTTGTTCAGGTGTTCGGGATTGTGCTCTATGCTGCGGCTTATCTATTGTTCTATGCTGCGGCTTATCTATTGCTCTATGCTGCGGCTTATCTATTGTTCTATGCTGCGGCTTATCTATTGTTCTATGCTGCGGCTTATCTATTGTTCTATGCTGCGGCTTATCTATTGTTCTATGCTGCGGCTTATCTATTGTTCTATGCTGCGGCTTATCTATTGTTCTATGCTGCGGCTTATCTATTGTTCTATGCTGCGGCTTATCTATTGTTCTATGCTGCGGCTTATCTATTGTTCTATGCTGCGGCTTATCTATTGTTCTATGCTGCGGCTTATCTATTGTTCTATGCTGCGGCTTATCTATTGTTCTATGCTGCGGCTTATCTATTGTTCTATGCTGCGGCTTATCTATTGTTCTATGCTGCGGCTTATCTATTGTTCTATGCTGCGGCTTATCTATTGTTCTGCGCCAAGTCTTTTCGCGGTTTCCAGCTTTCATTTTCCCATACGGTAAGTCTCCTGAGGTGACCTCGCTGGCATCCTATCACCAGTTCTACCATGCCTCCTCCGGCGACGTGCCTGCTTGCAGGTCCTGCAACAGTTGGACACTCTCTATCTGCGTCCCACTTGTTCATTAAAAGTTTATATCATTTACCAGGTGTTCTTGTGTATTATTAACGGGCACTTAGTCTATGGGTAATTTCCAGAGTCCAATATTATATTATAAATGCCTTACGGCCAAGGACAGCGCTTCTTTAAAAAAATGATATTCTAGGCGCGGAGACTCCTGAAAGTTATGCCTAAAACGGATGGCCCCCATTCAAATATCAGGTGTTCTCTGCAAATCCTTGTGCTGATTTCCTAAGACACAAGTCAGCACTTGGTGTGGCTATGTTTCCCCATCTTGTTAGCGGGTACGAGCGGACCATGAAGTACCTATTGCTCGTATAATTACCTATTGCTCGTATAATTACCTATTGCTCGTATAATTACCTATTGCTCGTATAATTACCTATTGCTCGTATAATTACCTATAGCTCATATAACTACCTGTTGCTCGTATAATTACCTATTGCTCGTATAATTACATATTGCTCGTATAATAACCTATTGCTCGTATAATTACCTATTGCTCGTATAATTACCTGTTGCTCGTATAATTACCTATTGCTCGTATAATTACCTATTGCTCGTGTAATTTCCTATTGCTCGTATAATTACCTGTTGCTCGTATAATTACCTATTGCTCGTATGCGTGTATGTTGTGGACGTGGGGTTTATGTCTATTTGAGTTATTTTTAAAACAAAAAAACAAAAACAAAAAATCAAAGTTTCGGGGGGGGGGGGAACACGCTTGAGCGTAGACATTGTTCGGTCGCGTCAATGCATGCAAGTTATTAACGATTTTATCGCTGAGCCTTCGATGAGCCGAATGTTGCTGAAGGATAAATATTTGCAGTTCCAAAACCGATAACTTACAATAGAGCACGTAGACTATGGACGCTGTCCTCTTAGCGCAGGCTGCATGTGATCAGAACGATGATACTTAAGTTCTCACTGAAACGCTGAAAACATATGGACCACGTCCAGTCAAATGATCGATTCGTACGTCCAGAGATGAAAAAAAACCGTTAACACTGAATTGTAAGATCGGATGTTATCATTGACGTTGCGACTTTGGGGATGGTAGGGATTACTCATAGAAGCTCTTGAGGACAGAATTGAACTGTACGTCTCTGCTGTCCCTCTAATTCCAACAGTAAAGTTCCTCTATGACAACAATACTGGCATGTTTCTGTCAGTTGATTTTGTTCCCGATTCAGAATGAAGAGAGTCGCAATAGAAGCACAGTTGATTCCATGGTCCGGGAGCCGTGCTCAGCAACATCATCTCCAGCAACATCATCTTAATTGAGCGTGACAGGGTTTCGAAATAAATGAACGTATCGCTGCTCCTGATAGGCGAATTCTTTCAGCAGCGTGTAGTCGAAGTTCAACGGTTCGTTCTTCAGTCCCATTCAGAGGCGTAGCGATAATTTTTGGCACCCTGGGGACAAGTTTCGCGCCCCGGGGCAAGATTAATTTTGAAGCGCCCCCCTTTCTTTTTTGCAACTCTCAAACCCACTATTTTGATCAATAAAATAATATCAAAGCACATTTTGGCGCCCGGGGACAACTGTCCCACCCTGCCCCCCTTCACTACGCCTTAGGTACCAATGGCTTATCGAAAGGAATTTGGTATACCGACTCGTTCATTTGTTTGCGATTGACGTAATGCTGATGGAGCCTCATTATTGCTGAGCTTGGTAACCGAGTCTTGTTTGCTGCCTCTGCTTAGCTTCTTGTGCTCGTCGCGTCCGTGTTTCTTCATGCGATTCGTTTTGTCGTCTTTTGACCTTTAGCTCCGCTACACGCTGAAAAGACACTGAGGGTGTGTACCTTTTCATAAAGCAGGAAAATATAAAACATTGATCAGAATGTCATTTAATGTTCAAATCCAAACAGACCTACGTATTTTATATTGAATTTTATTCCTACTGCTATTGTAATATATATATTTTTTTTATAGATTTCTATAAAATTGCACCCGTTTAGTTGTTGATTAATACCAACAAATACTGTGAGATTGAGTCTTATGTAAACGTGCAATATACGAGATGTCTATATATTTACTTTCATTATATCCAAATAAAATTTAGTCGGTTATCTGCAATTGAAAAAAAAAATCATAGAACAAACGTGACAATAAAAAGTGCATGTTTTTTTTTTTTTTTTTTTTTTAATGAAGCTCTTTTTAGTAGAAAAACTACAGACACTGTAGAAGAACTAACAAGCATAACTGGCCGTCGTAAAAGACAAGCAATGCATAATCAATCCCTGCGATCTGATGGTTGCTATCTGTTATAGCCAGTGTGATGACCTAATTTTTTGTCCACCACTTATCTCCTCCTTTGTTCCCCCCCCCTTCCCCACTTTCTTTTTTATACTGACGTGATCAACTTACACTGTGCTGCGATTACTTTTCTACCACACCTACACCTCCCTTGATTGGGAAAAGGTTGTTTACCTTCTCATTTTTTTCTAAATAATGCTGTCCGGTGATGAAATTTCTAGAATTACGAGACGTAATATATTTTCTTGGAGTTTTACAAAAATTACCTTCTTATGTTTGTGTGCATATTATTACTTGTATCTTTCGAGGATTATACTTTTTCATTTGCTGTGCTTTAAGCTAATATAAGTTTAATTTTTATCAATTTGATTTTGTATTTTAAACATAATAATACATTAAATAGTATAATTCCATTGAAGATTGTCAGTATCGCTAGCTTTGGTATCATTTTTTATTCAATTTAAATAAAACCTGCAAATTCAGGCGTGGGAAAGGGGGCAATGCCTGCTTAGATACATAGTTTAAGAACTTATCTATAAATTACTTTGTTGGGTGTGCAACATTTGCACGTATAAAACAGTGCATGTTCGAATGCATGACCGAAAAACATAAAGCATGACACCGAAACACATAGAACGTGACACTAAAAAACACATAGAACGTGACACCAAAACACATAGAACGTGACACCAAACACACGAAGAACGTGACACTAGACACACATAGAACGTGACACCAAACCAAACAATCACAAACCTGAGAAAAAGAAAGGACTTCTACGTGTTTCGGGGTAAAAGTCATTTGAGACCCCTTGGGGTATTTACAGGGATCCCCGTGCAAAATTGTGACTTGAAAGGGATCATGTGATCACGCAGTCAATCATGTCAGTCAATCATGTCAGTCAATCATGTCAGTCAATCATGTCAGTCAAACATTTCAGTCAATCATGTCAGTCAATCATGTCAGTCAAACATTTCAGTCAATCATGTCAGTCAATCATGTCAGTCAATCATGTCAGTCAATCATGTCAGTCAATCATGTCAGTCAATCATGTCAGTCAATCATGTCAGTCAATCATGTCAGTCAATCATGTCAGTCAATCATATCAGTCGGTGGTGTTTGTATCTGTAAATCATTAATAGTAACCATGTTTCGGAATTCAAATGTTAAAATAATAATGATAAATACACGCAGAAGAGAAATAACCATGGAAAAGATTATCTTCATAAAAGTTGTTTCCCTTGAGATCTCGTGATGTGATTAATAATAGAGTCAACGGTATTTAACGTAGATGATAGATAGACAGACAGACAGACAGACAGACAGACGGAGAGATGAATGGGTGGGTGGGTGGATGGGTGGATGGATGGATGGATGGATGGATGGATGGATGGATGGGTGGATGGGTGGGTGGGTGGGTGGGTGGATGGGTGGATGGGTGGATGGATGGATGGATGGATGGATGGATGGATGGATGGATGGATGGATGGATGGATTGATGGATAGATGGATAGATGGATAGATGGATAGATGGATAGATGGATAGATGGATAGATGGATAGATGGATAGATGGATAGATGGATAGATGGATAGATGGATAGATGGATAGATGGAT